CGGGGTGCGGGCTTTCCTGCAGACCTATTCCCACGAGGTCTCCCTGACCGCGGACTCGCGGGAGAGTCACGTGATCTTCCCCCAGCCCAACTACGTCGACACGCTAATCAGTCTGGAGAGCTGTGAGAAAAATGATTCCTTGCTAACATCCGTAGATTTTCATCAATATAAGGATGAAGCCGCTTCTGTTCAGGTGAGTTCAGTTCTTTGTTCACGTTTAATTCTCAAAGGAATTATATTTTTTATAAATTTATGTTTTAAAACGCACATTGTGGAGATAGTTTAAAATATTTTTTAAAAGTGTAGCCCAAAGTTTTTGGTTTTAGTGGTCATACTATAAAATTGAGCTCTAATCATGATAGTTTGCTTCATTTGCTTTCCAAAGTCTTGGACAAGATTGTTTACATGTCAACTCTCAACCTTTTAAAAATCTTACATATGTGGAGACTGGCTGGCTCAGTCAGTCGTGCGTGAGACTCTTGATCTCAGGGTAGTGAGTTCCAGCCCCACTTTGGATGTAGAGATTACTTTTAAAAATACAAAAAATAGGGGTGCCTTGGTGGCTGGGTCTGTTGGGCCTCAGATTCTTGGTTTCTGCTTGGGTTGTGATCTCAGGGGTGGTGCGATCAAGCGGGGGGTGGGGCTTCTGGCTCAGTGGGGAGTAGGCTTGATAATTCTCTCCCTCTGCCCCTCCCTCTACTCCTGCTCACACTCTCTCACTCAAATAAATAAATCTTTTTTTTAAAAGAAGAGAAAGGGACGCCTGGGTGGCTCAGTCGGTTAAGCATCTGCCTTCAGCTCAGGTCATGATCCCAGGGTCCTGGGATCGAGTCCCGCATCGGGCTCCTTGTTCCGCGGGGAGCCTGCTTCTCCCTCTGCCTCTGCCTCTCTCTCTCTATCTCTCATTAATAAATAAATAAAATCTTTTAAAAAAATAAATAAAAGAAGAGAAAAACATAAAAAATAAAATTTAAAAATCTTCCTTATGTTGCCATAATTATCACTTATCACTCATTCACTTAAGAAGTAGTTACCCAACCACATACGGTAAGTTTGTTTTATATTTAGGAAATATATATATGTATTCCTAATTAAGGGTGAGAAAAAAATAACTGAGACTTTCATTTTTTTTAGGATTTTATTTTTTTATTTGAGAAAGAGAGAGTATGAGCAGTGGGAGTGGCCGGCAGAGGGAGAAGCAGACTCCCCACTGAGCAGGGAGCCTGACTAGGGGCTCCATCCTGCGACTCCAGGATCAGACTTGATTCCAGGATCATGACCTGAGCCAAAGGCAGTTGCCTAACCAACTGAGCCACCCAGGCGCCCTAACCAAGACTTTTAATCCTTGTATTAGCTTAGTAAAAGTAAAATACATCTCACAATTTTAAGATTCTGTTTAGGGTTTGGGTCTTGAAGGTCTGAAGTTTTCTAGGCTTTTGGAGATTTCTTCACTTTAAACCCCTTTTATGAGCCTTGTATTTGCATCAGTACCCTTCAAAACTTTAATACTTATTATATTTCAAAAGATAAATACATTTGAGGGCGCCTGGGTGGCTCAGTTGGTTAAGCGACTGCCTTCGGCTCAGGTCATGATCCTGGAGTCCCTGGATCGAGTCCCACATCGGGCTTCCTGCTCGGCAGGGAGTCTGCTTCTCCCTCTGACCCTCTCCCCTCTTGTGCTCTTTCTCTCTCTCTCAAATAAATAAATAAAATCTTAAAAAAAAAAGATAAATACATTTGAAAGGGTGGAACTTGGTAGTAGGTGAAACAGGTTCCCTTATGTGTCAATGGTCTCCAAGAGCTCATACTAAAGAAGACATAGAATCTAGGGGCGCCTGGGTGGCTCAGTCCTTAAGT